TGTGAGTTCGAGGCCAGCCTGGGCTACCAAGTGAGCTCCAGGAAAGGCACAAAACTACGCAGAGAAACCCTGTCTCAAAAAACCAAAAAAAAAAAAAAAAAAAAAATAGAGGTTTCTGGATTACACGCTGCTGGATGGAAGCATAGACCCACTGCTTCCCAGAGTCTGTGGAAGTATGGTTCCCAGAGCTGGCAGTAAGTGTACCACCACCATGTTGGGAAGCTGAAGTGGGTGGAGCATGCTATAGTTTAAAGCAATAGATTCACAATAAGACAGATTCAGATGGGCTAAACCTCTAAACAGTTTACAATGTGTGTAAAAATGTACATAAGCTTAGAAGAGAAAAGAAAGTAATAAATGCAGTTATATAAAGAAATGGACAGTATTTAAAAATAAAATCTTTAAAAAAGGTAAAAGTAATATAAAAGTAAGCCACGTAAACATGGATATCACACGGAGAATCTGAATTGTGTTGTCTTTGCGATTTTTAACTGCAGAAAGACATTTGATTGTAAAGACTGCTCAGGTAAACAAATATGTATATTTTAAAGGTGCCTTGACATCAAAATTTGGATCTAAGGATATGTTGCTTTGGAAAGGAGGCTCTGCTTTTGTTTCCACAGAAAGCCAGAGGCTATGGATTTGTTCCAGATTAAGATACAGCCAAAACCCCCTGAAAGGACTCTGATGACACCATGGCGCAGATGATCCAACATCCAGAATGGTTTCAAGGCAACTGGCTCAGACAATACAGCATCATAGACTACTCCATAATCCTAAAATTTTCTTTAGGTCCCCATAAGAATACAGTGTCCTCATCCAGCAGAAAGTAACATAGAAAACTACACCCACATTCCCAAAAATAGATTATGGATGTTTGTCTTTGTTTATGTTGTTGTTTACAAATTGTTATTGGTTATAGTCAATATCTTTCCAAAAGAAAAATATGATATAGAAATATAGGATATAGATATGATAGAATAAAAGGGTAGATTGTTACACCTACTTTTAAAGAGCAACTTGTTTAAAATGATTTATATTGGTATAGATTTTAGTTTAAAGTTAATTTTATTATACTGTATGTATATTTCTACTCTTGTTTAAGATATGTTTTTGCAACTCATTTAGATTGTAATGGATAATTAAGAAATACAGATTAATAATTAGTCTTTTATGATAGTCAAATTTATAGTTATGTTAAGTTTTCTAGGTATACATACATGCAATTCAATTAGGTAGGTAATCTTCAAATACTTCAAAGACCTACAGAATATGGCATTTTAAATGTTTTAAAAATTTAGACTTTCTGGACAGTGAGACATGTCTGCTCCTGGAAGCACCAATTTACTTCAGAGAGGAGGATGGGCACTGAAGACACTTTATATGGAGTTTTTCTTCTTCTTGACAAAAACATCCATTTGGGCAAGAAACTGTTCTTGCCTGGACTGCTTGATTGACTGGACATGCAGGATCCATAAGAAGGTGAACACTGAACTTTGCTTGGTGAAATGGTCCTTCAAGTTCCTGCTTCGCAGAGGAAATTGCCAGATATTCACCAGGACACAGAGAGAAGTGACTGAGAGACTCTATGCCTGTGTTCTGAAGACAGATGCCCCAACATTACAGAGCAACTTTGGATGACTGTCCAGGCTGCCAGCTGTCTCTGTCTACTCTCGCAAGACTCCCGAAAGTTGCCTGTGTCCTTCTCCCATTTTTCAGGTTAATAGTATATCCTTCTGAGGCCTTTGATGTAGTAAAAGACTAGATAGCTATAATCTCCTTAGTTATGATAAAAGATGTTAGATATGAAACCTTAGACTCACAAATATAAGATAGATAAAATATCTTCTTCAATTTTGCCAAATAGAAATAGATTAGATATTATAAATAGACTAGATATTGTAACTGCAATTCTTGCTTGATAATTGTTCTGTTATATGTAATTTTACTATGTTAAAGTTAAAACCTTCCCTTTTGAAAAAAAGGAATTGCTGGGGATGCTGTCAATGTGTTGCTCTGATTGATTGATAAATAAAATGCTGATTGGCCAGTAGCCAGGCAGGAAGTATAGTGCAGGCAGGATAAGGAGAGAGGAAAATTCTAGGAGGTAGAAGGCTGAGTCAGGAGACGCAGCCAGCTGCCACCACCATGAAAAGCAAGATGTAAGGTACCAGTAAGCCACAAGCCACGTGGCAACTTATAGATTTATAGAAATGGGTTAATTTAAGATATAAGAACTAGATAGCAAGAAGCCTGCCATGGCCATACAGTTTATAAGTAGTATAAGTCTCTGTGTGTTTGCTTGGGTCCTAGTGGCTGTGTGACTGCCAGGTGAGAGAGATTTGTCCTGACCATGGGCCAGGCAGGACCAGGAAAACTTCAGCTACAGGTAGGTACAAGGGGAATATATCTTCTGTTAGCTGAGGTATGAACTGACACCTGCATATACATTATATAAATTTCCACAAGACCCGGGTAATATGTGCCTAAAGATTTCAAAATGTGTATTATAGCTAAAAATACATCTTACAAAGACAAATATGTAAAATATGTATGGAAATGGGAAAAAAAAGCATTTTTAAACAAATATCCCTCAGAGTACTTGCAATTGGTAAAGGCTGAAAGTGAGTTTCTAATAGGTAATTAGCCAAATGCTGTATGTATAGCAATCCTAGAAAAACATATACAGCTATGTTAAAAAGCATGAAAAAACTTAAGTTAAAATAAGTCACAATTATGATGCATTTGTAAAGAGGGGAAGACAAACTGTGCAGAGAACCACGCTCTCAAGGACAGAAGACAAAGTGTTAGCTTTGGGGATCTTTGGGAAATGTCTTACCTTTGGGTTTGCAGTTGCACTGTATTAAAATGTACTTCTACGCTTTCTAAATAAGGAGTGTGTAACAGCATAAACCTGGAGGTTTTGTGTAAATAAATTTACTAATAAATGAGAAAGAGAAAATATGACAGGAACATCATGTAGCATAATATCAGGCACAATAGAAGCTTATAATACCTGTTAGTATGCTCATGGCATACTTCAGTATGCTACTCAAGTGAGTCTCATGAGCAGGAATCAATTTTACAGACTTCACACGGTACATCCCAAGAAGCTAACTTCAGCCAACATAGAGAGCAAAGTGCTCGTTTGGAAGATAACCACTATACACTTGCATCATTACTATTCACAAAACACCATTATGAAAAGGCAAATTTCATTTACAGGATTTTCCAAGATACTGCTGCTTAAAGTTTAATCATTTGTGATCAAGCAGTAATTGCAGTGGAAAGTGGCTATAATCTCAAATTCTGTCTCTAACCAGCTTTGTAACTTATATTATTCTCATCTGCTAGATGTTATACAAAAATTAGCACTGTACAGGCAAAGACTGAAAACAAGACAATAGCATGGAAGCACCCTAATGATCTGATGTCATGGACAACAAAGTAAATATTTTTCTACTTTCACTTTGTTTCCCAGAGTTTTGCTAATAAGCACTTCCCGCTTGTACCATATAAGTAATGATTTCCTCTAGGTCAGTAGTCTCCAGCATTGATTGCATTCACTTACAAAAAGTAAAACCATAGCAAGTCCCCTCTCACATGTAAATTCTCTTTCCAAAACCTGATTTATAATCATTACTCTCCATTTCCTAGAAAAAGGGTCAGCATGGTCAACTGGGCATGTTAACCCTTGTCTGGAGTTGAGGGAACCTGCTAACACAGCAGAAACTCCTCCAGAGATAACTGTTTACATCAGTTTGTCAAAGAACATCCTGAATTAGCATGTGCAGCCTCAAATAGTTCCTAACCACATCACTTTTCACTCGCTAATATCCCAGGTTGGGTAGGACATTGTACAGCCAGACTGTTGCCCTCACACAATTCATACCATGTTAGCTATAGAATTTAGAACAAATGTTTTAGACTATCCACTTCCAGATTTATCACCCTGCACCCTGAAAAGAGCAAATGAATGTAAGAAAGTCACAGGATAATCAGATACTCAAATCCCACCAGAAGTGATCTGAGGCAGTAAGAACAGAAAACTGCTTCTAGGTGGACCCACTGTCCTATGGTTCATCAAATCACACACCTTAAAGACTTAAGATATACTTATAGATTCTATCAAACTATTGATACTTGTGAGGTGTGAGTTATGCCCTTCTAACAGTACAAACAATTTCATTAAACAGAGGTATATCTAAGCCTAAGTAATTCTATCTTGACAATTGGTACAAACTATTCACAAAGCTACTTGACTAGAATGCATTTGAAGGAAAAAAACCCACTAAACACCATAATTGCATCAGTAACGATGCTTTAAGTGTGTGTGTGTGTGTGTGTGTGTGTGTGTGTGTGTGTGCGCGCGTGCGCGTGTGTGTGTTTATATTTAGTTGTAGGTCAAACAAATACAGGAATTATAAATCCAAAATAAAAAAGAAAAAGGTCTATAAAATTAAGGTTAAATGAAAGATTATTTCCCAGGCATATTAAAAATCTTTTGTAATTTTTTTTGGTTGATTGTTTTGTTTGCAAGCTGTAATTTCTCCTACAAAGTTCTATCGAGCAAGCATTATTTTAGGCCAATGTAATGAAAAATGGTTAATCTAATAGACTGAAAGAATGTGTGTGGCTATATGATACACATCTACACAAAAATACAGAGTAGAAGTTATCTTATCCCACCCCATTCATTATTGGAAGTTTTAGTTTTATATCTACAGATTGTTCCAAATATGTTTTCCCTAAAATAACCTAGCACAATACCTAAATCGCATACCCAGTAAAACAGGATGGACAAAAGTCAAACACTCACTTGCACATCTGTTCATATCTGGAGCTCGATGTCCATAGTACCCTGACGGGCAGGAATGCAGGCACTCTCCATACTGGCGCATCCCTTCTCTTCGAAGGAAGAAGAACAATTTCTGCTGACACCGGCTGCACCCATTGTCCTTTGAACAAGACAAACAACCCTTGCAAATGGGATTTGATACATAACTAGCTGTAACAGAGAAAAAAAACAAAAATATTTAAATATGAATATTGTTAGACTTTTGGTCTCTATACCATTATGAGTGAAAGAAGTCTTGGGTTATAGACACAAGAGGTGAACCCGCTACTGTCAGCTTTCTAAACCAATATAATTTCTAACTATTTACTAAATACTCATCCTCATACCTACAGACCCATACAGCTCTCACCCCTTATCAAAGAAGCTTCTTTTTGAAACAGCTGAAGACTATTAAAGAGATCTACAACTGGTCAAAATGTGGAGATTAAGCAGCTGTGGAGTGAGAAACTTAAATTGATAACATCTACAATGCAACCCCTATACTTAAGGCTCAGGGAAAATCATAAAAGAGAGGAAAGAAATATTCTAAGAGACAGAGGCCAAAGATGCCTGCTGTGGATCATATCCCCTATACATGACAGAGAAAAGTCATCAATGAATTCTGAACAATATGGTTGCCTGAATAAAACCAGCATCATGACACCGGTTGACATACCAGTATAGACAGAGGAAATTCCACATAGCCCCACCCCTAAGTGAGTGATGTATATAGTCAGCAGGTGCTGAGAGAGCAAGATTCATTGCCTCCAGGGGAAAGAAGTCCCACATAGGTTGTCCAATTCCAAGAGGTCAGGCCTAGACACATATACATATGAACAAAGCCAAATGGATACTGAAGGTAATATATATCAGTTGATACCTAAATATATGTTGATATATAAATATATTTGGGTACATATACACCATGTGAATGTACATTAGCAATAATAATTAAAGAAGAGATTGTGAGCTTGGGAAGATGGACACAAAAGAATGTAGTGGGTAGCTGTTCTGTCTATGACCTTGGTATTGCCCCTAAAGATGCAGCAGTTTACTTCACTACCTGCCTAGGACCATGAAGTACATGCCCCTGGGTCATGTTCCTTGGCCTGAGATGCACATAGGCAGTCTCCTCTCTTGCTTCCTCATGGTTTGAGATAAGGAACTGACTCAGTCGGCTGGAACAGTGTCCCAAGTACCTGTGACTATCCTGTTCTATACAGTGAGTTTTCCCCTTAATAAATTCCCTTGCCCTTTAAACAGACTCCATGGATTTCTTGCCATAAGAGGAACTAGAGCATAGAAAGTGAGGGAAAGAGTTATACAGATTCAGTGGTCATGTATGAAGTTCTCCAAAAAAACCTATTCAAAAGAAGTCTATGTTTTATGCACATAGAAATATAAACAAATATCCCTACCCTGGAAAAAGAAGCATTTAAATTTTAAGGGTATAAAAAATGCAATATTTTTATCTTTAGAGCTTAAAAACAGATATTTAAATTTAAAATTAACACAAGACTTGAAGAAAATCCAAAATTAAACCTTCTACATTTCTTCATTATCAATAAATTCAATTTTAATTTAAAATGTATTTGCTATAACTTTAAGGTATTGACCAAAATAGTGTAAGGCATGGAACTGCTAAACCAATAAAAAGACAAAATAAATGTATATAATATTAGCAGGAAGAAAGAACCCAAATAGACAAGAATGAAATGGACATACTGTGGGATGTTCACACTATGAATTTAACTCAAAAATAAAAAACACTTAAGAGATTTGTAGAAAAGGCAGGTAGGAGGGAAACAAACAGTGGGGGAGGGGAAGGATAATCCAAAGGCATCATATACAAGTATGAAACTGTCAAAGAACATATTAAATAAAAACTTTAACGAAGACAGGATTTTAGAACACAAAAATTCTCAAAAGGAACAAAATTAATACACTGTATGTTGATGAAAGAATCAAGACACGCAGGAAAATGGAGTGTTCTGGAAAATCCATAAAGATGCTCTATGGTGTAGAAATAAGAACACCATGGGCCTCTGAAGGTGGAACGCTGACCTAGAAGCAGTTCTATTTCTAGAGTTAGTTTCTATGGAGCACTGTGACAGATAGCACAACATGGTTTAGATAACAGGAACCCATTCCATGTGGTGACGATGGGGACCCTGATGTTAGCTGGAGCAGAATGCACTTCTGAATTCCTGGGAAAGTCCTTCCTTCTCTGGGCTGCCGGTGGCCCCAAGAATTTCCTGGTTGTATAACTAGTCTCTGACTTAGTCTCCTGGCTGGCTGCACCAATACCTCCATGCCTTTATTCTGCCTCCTGTAGATATTCTCCCTCTCCTGCATTTATAATCTCACATAACAGGCTTATTTTTCATATCCCTTATATCTGCAATGACCTCATTTTCAACTAAGGTCACATTCTAAAGCCCTAGGTGTACATGAATTTAGCAGGGAATAGCAGCCCACTATAAGGTTATATTATTATTCTCTATCTTCAGGGAATTTATTATACAGCTGTATATTTACAAAGTTCATATGACTATTTAGGTATAGCATATATTTTTGCATCCTAATTAATGTGCATGATTCAGACATAAATTATAAGACGAATTAAAAGGCTATACAAAAACTTTATGATACAATTACTTAAGATCCCATCTCCTTTCAAGATTCTAGGAATTAATTAGATGCTCACCTGTGAGATATTCTTACCTTACTTTCTTGTATAATTTTTCCTTTTATTGAAAATAGCTTTTATTCTCACATAACATATCCTGATTATGGTTTTCCCTTCCTCTACTCCTCCCAGTTTTTATATATGATAATATAGGATCTCATAAATCCCTGGCTGGCCTGGAACTCACACATTCACCTGCCTCTACCTCCTAAGTGCTAGGATTAAAAGGGTATGCCATCAAGCCTGGCTTTTTTATGCTTTTTAAATAAACAACAGAAATATTCTATTTAGGAGATTAAGTGGGGATAGGATTAGGTGTAGAAATAGAACCTAAAATTCCATATATCTTCATAAAGTTTTCCATTCCTAATTAAAAAACAGTAATTTAAAAAAAATACAAAAGATTCTCTGTACACATGGTATAAAATTTGGAAACGACATAATCTGGTATTGAATCTTTTACCCTTGAGTATGTTCCTCTTTGCTAAACATACAATCTTTACTGCGGTACTATGGAACACATATTCATATGGGCAGATACACAATACAGAGCACTGTACCCAGTGTACCCCAGATCATTCCTTTATGTTGAATGACTCATGTTCCAATACATTAATAACTGTGGCAGATCTGTACAAGTTTTAATTCCATAAGATTCCCTCCTATCAACTGTGCTCCCAGACATCTCTCCCAAGGACATTCTTTTTGTTTACAAAAATACATGTTTCAAATAATTTTCAACTTACAGCCTTAATTCTGTAAATCTGGTATTATAGGGACCAATCATAGGTTGGGTGAAAAAAACAATTCATCTGGAAAAAAATCTTTTTAGCTATAAGTAATAAAATTGGGTGAAGGCTTTTCTAAATGTTCTTCCATGTTCATATAAATACATTCAATATATGATTCATAAATTTTCATAATGTGATATTACATATGATGGGTCATAATGTTTCCCTTTGGGTAAAAAGCTGTATAAGCTTTCCAAAGCAATCATCCAGATCAGCATCTGTAATACTATTTCCTGGAAGCAGTTTTACCTGCTGCCTTTACTTACCCCAAACTTCACTCAGTTATCTTCAAGTATACTCCTTCTGAAGATCACAATCATTTCTACCCTTCTACTTAAAACCTCCTGTGTAGTTTCTGAACTTTGATGGACTTAAACAATGAACAGAATTAGGGAATGCTTCTCTCACTCCAGATCTTACATATCTTTATAACCCCCACATGAGGAATTCTCCTGAATCAAAAGTAATGTGAGCCACATTCAATCAACATGCTCTCTTTACCTTTTCTAACTCCAAAAGCTTGGGTTGCAAAGGTTGTCTTCCTTCTCTTACTTCTATGATAATCTTACAACCTCTGCTACACACATATTCTACTCTTCACTCTTATGAGTTCCACTAATCTCTTCACTTGGGCCTTTATTATTTCTCTTTTGAACACTTATGGAGCCCAACTATGGGCTGATTTTTTTCTTCCTTCACTCTGTATTATATTGTTAAGTGAATTTTACCACTTATATAAACTCTATAGTATTTCTGCTGGAAATTATTATTTCTTTTCATAAAGCAGTTCCACATAGCTTTTCTACATTCCCAGTTACCTTTGGAAAAGGATTTGTTCTAATATTGTTCTTGGTGTCCTGAGCAAGTATGAGTTTTGGCAAATGTTGATCCAGTTGAACATTTCCACGTAATAAAGAAAAACTATGGGGGTAATAGAGTCCAGATAGCTGGGGAACAGAAAGAGAAATGGAATGTAGAAATCGGCTGGGAAAGGCCAGCTGTCTCATTTTCAGAGTGGCCCTGGAATGGTATCCACCTGGAGCACAGCGCCCTGTGGACAACCGGCATTTAAGAACTCTGGTGTGCATAGCCAGGAGACTAAAGCAGGAACAGGAGCTGATGGCAGAGGCCGCCTCCAGAGCCCAGCACAAAGTGCTCTGCAACCAGTAGAAGGAGTGTGCTGGCTGTCTTCTTCTGTTGGAGTTAATTACAGATCCGAAAAAGGTTATTCAGATCTCAAAGCTAGCTCTGAAGACAGAGGAGAATTTGAAAGGTCTGCCCTCATGGAAGAATGTTTCAGGGGGTTTTCTAACCCACGGTGCTCACAACTCAAGGGAAGCTATACTTGCTTTGAATTCAAAGGTCAAACCAAGCGCACTTTATCATCACAAATCATACTCCAGAGTAAGAAGTACAGAGGAAAGGGAATTGCAGCACCAAGGGAATCAACACAAATGAAAGGCTTTTTTGGTTTCATGTTTATATATCAGGAGACTACTTTCATCTTGACCACAAGGACTTCAGAGTCAACAAATTTTGTCCTGCATTTATTTTTTTAAAAGGTATTCTTAAAACTGTTAGGACACATTGCTTCAGTTACTTGAACCTTGACAGACTTAAACAGTAAAAATGAATTAGGGAATCCTTACCATAGTCTATATCTTCGCTATCTTTATAACCTGACCGAGAAG